ACACACACACACACACACACACAAATGTGGATATAATCAATGTCAGTACCCCCTAGTTGTGCTATTTTACTATAGTTTTACAAGAGGTTATCGTTGGGGAAAATGGGTAAAACATAAATGGGATCTCTACATAATTTCTTTTTTTTTAACTTTTTTAGCGTTTATTTTTGAGACACAGAGAGACAGAGACAGAGTGTGAGTGGGAGAGGGGTAGAGAGAGGGGGAGACACAGAACTCAAAGTGGGCTCCGGGCTCTGTGCTGTCAGCATAGAGACAGACGTGGGGCTCAAACTCATGAAGTCATGAACTGTGAGATCATGATCTGAGCCGAAGTCCAACACTCAACCAACTGAGCCACCCAGGCACCCCTAGACATAATTTGTTACAACCACACATGAATCTGCAATGATCTCAAAATAAAAAGCTTCATTAAAAAGAAGAGCTGGCACTGACTTGCATTAAGGATGCTGGTGAATCTGAATGGCACGACTTATCATATGTGTCATTTCAAACTCACCAAAATTGGGAAGGATGAAAACAGATGAAGAGGCAGTATCTTGGCCACTGTCATGTCTCAACAAAGTTGGGTAATACACTGACTTAGCGCTGTCTCCAAGGCTGGCTTCGGCTTTTCCTGGCATTTCTATAAATAAAAGGTTTTCAAGGGCTATAATACACGAACCTGCATTCATGAGTTCTATACTGGATGAAACTATCCATCAGGAAAGAAGGGGAAATAAAGACATCTCACACAAATGAGAACTAAAAGGTTTTGTCCCCAGAAGACTGATTCCTACAGAAACGTTAAAGGAAAATCTTCTATCAGAAAGGATATGAGGAAAGAAGGAATCACGAAGCATCAGAAGAAAGAACAATGGAAAGAGCAGAAATACGGATGTGAAGAAACTGGGCCACTCATACACAGCTGGCAGCAACATAAAATGGCACAACTATACTGGAAAACAGGTAGTTTCCCATAAAACTGAATATGCAAATAAAAGATAACCAAAAACTGCACTCCTGGGTACTCATGTCCAAGAAATGAACACTTCTATTTACACAAAAACCTGTACATGAATATTCATAGCAGCTTTACCCCAATAGTCAAACACTGGGTGGGGGGGGAATGAAAATTTTCTTCGACAGGTGAGCCGTTAAACTACAGCATACCTATACCATGGAACAGTAGTCAGCATGCAGTGATACATGCAACAACTTGGTTTAATCTCCAGCGACTTACCTGGGGTGAAAAAAAGCCAGTATGAAAACGTTACATACTACATGCATCCAACTATATAACAATTTTGAAGTGACACACTTTTAGAGATAGAGAATAGATCAGTGGTTGCCAAAAGCTGGGGAAAGGGGAACAGGGAGGGCAGGGCCACCAGAGGGTGAGAAAAATGTTCTGTACCTTGACCACAGTGGTGGACGTGCAAACCCCACGTGATAAAACTGCCTGGAACTAAATGCACAGACACACAGTGAAACCAAACTGGGGATGGCTGAATAAGATCCGTGGGTTATATCAGCATCAGTCTCCTGGCCTTGATATTTTACTGTAGTTTCACAAGATGTTACCTTTGAGGGAGATTGGGTAAGGGGTACCGCTCGATTCTTTCTTAGAACTACATGTGAATCTACAATTATCTCCTAAAACTTTTTTTTTTTTTTAATTTTTTTTTCAACGTTTTTATTTATTTTGGGACAGAGAGAGACAGAGCATGAACGGGGAGGGCAGAGAGAGAGGAGACACAGAATCGGAACAGGCTCCAGGCTCCAGCCATCAGCCTAGCCTGACGCTGGGCTCGAACTCACGGACCATGAGATCGTGACCTGGCTGAAGTCGGACGCTTAACCGACTGCGCCACCCAGGCGCCCCCTAAAACTTTTAATTAAAAAAATAGCTATAGCCAACTATACTTCAGCTTAAAAAATAGCTATTGCTAGTTTGCATTATGAATGATTTTTAGGGGCACCTGGGTGGCTCAGTCGGTTAAGTATCTCTTGATCTCACCTCCGGTCTTGATCTTAGGGTTGTGAGTTCAAGCCCCATGCTGGGCATGAGCCTTCCTATAATAATAATAATAATAATAATAATAATAATAATAATAATAAGGAATGCTCTTTAATCCAGTTGAAAGGATGCTATTTCTAACATGTGCCATTTCAAACTCACCAAAACTGGGAGGGATGCAGAAAGCTGATGAGGCAGCATGTGGGTCCATGCTGCTATTTCCCGGTAAAGTTGAGCAGTTTGCCGCCTCAGGAAACTGGGCCAGACTGGGCTTTCCTTGTGGCAGAAGGGCTGGAGGTACTGCTGGAGGACACTGGGCAGACAGGGTAACACAGCTGGCACCTTCCGCACCTTCGCTGACAAAGTAGGAAAGGGCGGCAAGACCAGGAGCTGGGCCGCCTGGTGTGCGATTGGACTGTAATGAAAACGTGGGGACAACCTTGGGAATTGGTGGCTTCTGCCTGAGGTCCGGCTGCTGTAGCTCAGGGGATGCTGCCGACTGAAGAGGAGCTCCCACAGAGTTGGTCAGGGGCTGGGTTTCATGCTGGTCCTCTGGTACAGAGGGGCCCGCGGCTCCCTGGCCAGGGGAAGAGAATACAATGGGTTATGCTCTTTGCTTTGGTTCCTGGACTTGAATTTCTCCACGAGGTATAAAATTAAAACTGTTTTGTGTAAATCCAGAGGACCTGTAAAATCACACAAACCCATGATAAACCAATTGTGACAATAATAAGTAAAAAGCTGATAAAAGCATGAACACCTGCTTTCCTGGTGAAATCATTTTCCATAGTTAAGGATAAATGCTGAATTTTTATTACATGATTTTTATTCCTCTTCAACCCTACATTTTGAGTGCATTTTATAGATTACAGTTACAAACATAAAAACACTCAGTATCAAAATTTCTCAATCCTCAACTATAGCATTCCTCCAAGAGAGGTTTAATCTCCCATCTGCTGCTACAGTAAGTATATGTCAGCCTTGCTAATCTCAGACTCATTAGTTCTCTCTCACTTCTAATCGATTGGTATCTTTAGGAACTAGAGGTTTATCAAAGTAGTGAGAATGTTTTTATGACACACAGTTTGGCAACAGGGGCTTCTCCCAAGAAGGTTGCATTTTTGAGACGATTCTGCAAAGCTGGTTTACCTGCCTATTTGTGTTTTCAATAAGTTCTTGCAAACCCTATTATAACACAAAAAGTATTTTAGCAGATCCTATTTCAAAAGAAAAGTAACAGACAAGAAAATACCAGTAAGCCAAATCTTTATTGCTAGAAACAAGGGAAGCTCTGAAGCCATCAGAAAGATCGTTTCCCACTTGACTGCGGTTTTGGTGACACAGAGCCGAGCTGGCTGAGATAAGGGGCCC